TATGTTCAACCCCTGAGCGAAAACCAATTCTTTTTCAGGAGCTGTCTTTCCTCCCACTCCCCATCTTGTCCCTCTTCTTTTCTCTTCTCCCCTCCCCCCCAGCCCTCAGCCCCTAGACCTCTGGGGTCCCCACCTCTCCGCCCCCTCCTCCGCCGGGATTTCTTAGCAGGGGAGGAGGGGATGTCGGCCCGAGGCTGCGGCGAAAGCCGGGCAGCGGGGATGGGGGTGGGGACGAGGGCTCGGCGCTCTGTTTACTAGAAAGTCCCGGGGTTATGTGTTCGAGCCGCCCCGGCCTAGGCCCGGGTGCATTGTGTTGGCCGGAGCCCCGGGCTCCCGCGGCAGCCCGGGGCCAGGTGCGGTGACTGGGGCGAAGGCGCCGCGCAGCTTTGTGCTGGGGCTGCGCCCCGCGGCCGCCCCCGGGGCTGCCCGCGCGCGCGCCGCTCTCGCGCGGGGCTTTTTCTCACCCTGTCCCCGAGCCCTAGTCTCACTCTCCGTCGCCGCCTCTGGTCTCCACGATCGCAGCCTGCAGAGCAACCCGGAGACCCGAGCTGGGGCCGGGGCTGGGCGGCTGGGGACGAGCAGCGAGAAAAAGTAACCGTTGCCGCCCGATTTCTTCTTGACCGAGGCGGGAGTTTCTTTGCTATTTACATGTAACAAGCTTATCTTTGTAAAGCCTTTGAATTCCGGGTTTTTTGCGGCCTAGGAGGTGAAGAGGGCATTTTTTTTCCTGGAAGATCGGGAGGGGGTTGGAATCCATCAGCAAAAAAATAAATTAAGGACACCCTAGTGGGGTTGATTTATAGCGCCTTCACTCACTCCCCCAACACACCCCAAATTAAGCGCAAATGCAGGTCATGAAAAATGTGTAATTGATATGAGATGCTGCAAACAAACACAAACAGGTCAGGGTGGAAAAAAACAAACAAAACTTTAAGTAAAAGAAAAGATTTCAAAAGGTGGGGAGGGGGGACCCATGGTCTCCACACCCCCGTCCAACGCCCGCTGGCTCCCTCCTTTCCTTTATCCGCCGCTCACGGGAAGGATCCCGGCAGCCCCGGGGCACAGAGCTGGGAGGCGGCGGCGGCTCGGGATCGGCTCTGTGGGTTCGGGGATGCCAAGCGCCCTGGAGGCTGACGTCTGAGACGTGGGGCTGTGATGCCCAACCGAGGATGGCGTGGTGTCAGAGCCATTGGCCAGCGGTGGTCATCAAACAGTCCGGGGCTGGGGAAGAGGGAGAGAAAAAAGACAAGCGCCCAGCGGAGCCCGGGGCCGCGAGCGCTAGAGCCAGCAGGGCCAGCAACGGCGGAGGCGACGGCAGTGGCAACCCGGGACTGAGCGAGTAAGGGGAGCTGGTGCTCCAGGAAGAAAAGGGGAGTTGTGGCCGGGACGCGCCGGCCGTGATCCGAGGGCAGGGCGAGGGTGTGTGTGTGTGTATGTGCGTGTAGTTGCTGAACACCCCCTCCCCAACTGCCCACTCTGGATTTAAAACAAACAAACCAATCCAAAGTAGAGAATTCCGCGCCCCCCTCGCCCCACCATATATAGACTCCACGCGTTGCCAGAGGCGCAGGACAAAAATCTTGCCCTCCC